CTGAACGTCATCGACCACATAAACAACGAGCCTCTCAGTTTTGACATTGAGTCCAAATCTGAAACATGACAACTTGAGATACCCTACATCTGAAATTACTCTCCCTGCTTACTATGGACATCGGCCAAATAGACGAAAAAGGAAAGGATGATGAGTTTTTCCAAGACGAGTTAATCTTTAACTTATCATCCAGCCTCCGTTTTTACTACAGGAAAACACATAATTCGTTTCGAAACTTTTGCCATTGCGCACTGTGTCTGTGTGTCGGAGTGCTTTGCATAGCACTATTTTCACAATTGGGTCAACTGATATCATTGAAATCTGCCAAACCACTAATAAGTATAGTTAGCCTAGTAGTTCATCCGATGGATCCTGAATAATTACTTAGGAAATCCTGCCTGGCAGTGAGCTTACTGTATCCGTACTGGTGGATTCCATACGAGCAATAGGTTGGGTGAGCAAATCGACCCACGTGTGGTTAAATTCACGGCTCACGGTGAGCTTCGTAGCTCAGTGGTGGAGCGTCGGCTGCGGTTTCACAATTGGATCAACTGAAATTATTGAAATCTGCCAAACCCCTAATAACATTATTCCCTTCATGTAGACTCCAAAGATAGCGCCACTCGAGTGACGGCTACGGTTTTTTTCCATTTTCTAATTTGAAATGTCATATTAAGACTTGGCCGGAGTAGGCAGTGAAACGGAGTCAACCGATAATACAAGACCCGGATTTAGTCAGGTTTATCCCGAGAGTGTAGGCCCACCTCCATTCGTGTCCAATATATAATTCTAGATCCTGCTATTCCCGAATCGAACGTAGAAACGACAGTGGTCGTTACCCCTTTTCGGTCGCTCGATTATCATTTACGGTGTTGCTTCGAGAGTCCTAATTCAACGCGATGCTTATTTCGAGTGTCGCTTCGTCTTCTTGCAAAATACTATGAGCTAGACCACAACTATTTGACTGTTGAAGTTAGTGATCTCTACAACTGCCCGTCTCCTCCTGCCCACAAGGGAGGCACAGCCATGACTGCTGCAAGGCCCTTTTTACGCTAGAGCGTGTGTGCTCCGTGTCTACCTCATACA